TTCACCTATCTTCATCATTCTGTCACTCTTCCTCTTCTTGTATGTTGCCCTCCCCATCACCAGAGCTAATGTCTCTACCTTCTAGCCAGTAAATTACTCTCCCTTCCCTCCTACCTCTAGGAACCATCTAAGAATATTTCTTTTAGTATAAAAACCTTTAGTTTTTATAATAATGGTCTCATACCATATTTAACCTTTTGTGATTGACTATTTTCACTCAACATAATGTGAAATGTTCTGTTTTATAAAGATTGAAACTGCATTCTTTTTTCAATTTGTCATTCTTGGCACAGTGAATCATTATGACTGTCAGATTCAAAATGGCCAATACCAGTCTTTTTAAACTCACCAGTGCCTAGGATATCCACTTTTATGTGTTTTACTTTATTTTTTACAACTTCCAATTACGTCGCACATTCCATGTTCTGATTATTAATGGATTGGTTTACAGTTGGTTTTCCTCATTTTGAGTTGTACCTCATCAGCAAATGAAGGTCCTAAAATCTTTATTACTCCATTTTCATCATCATAGTCAACTCTATTTTAGGAGGAAGTTCTTCCCCAGCTGTATTTTGAGTGCCTTCCGGTAGGAGAGGCACATCTTCAGACACTATATCTGACAATATTCTGGTGCTCCATTGCTATTTATAAGGTTTTCAGTGGCTGAACATTCAGAAGTAGTCCACTTCTCCTTCCTCCTAATCTATCTTAGTCTGGAAGCTCAGCTGAAACATGTCCATCACGGGCGTCCCTGCTGTTATTTAAAATACTGGTGGCAGAGTTTCCAGCATCCCAACACTCAAGTCACCACACAAAAAAACACACTGACAGATGAATGATGTAAAAGAGATTAAATAATCAGCAGAAAATGGGTAAAATAGATGTCAAGATACATGGAGATCTCCAAAGAACCATGACCCAGAAGCTAGAGAGACAAGGACCTTCCTCCACAGCTGACAGAGAGAGAAAGTCTTGCCCTAGAGCTAGTGCCCTGAATCGCTACTTTTACACTTAACTGTGAGAAAATAGATTTCTGTTTGTTAAAGCCACCCACATGTTCTATTTCTGTTATAGGAGCACTAGCTAAGGATGACTCTTGTATGGAGAAGTAAAAGGTGTTGCTCTAAAAAGCAATGTGGAAGTGGTTTTAGAATTGGGTAATAGATGGAGGTTGGGAGAGTTTTAAGGGGTCTAAAAGCAGAAGCTTACCTTGTCTTGAAGAGACTGCTGTAGAACTATGGATGTCAAAAGTAATTCTGCTGAGGGCTCAAAAGAAAGTAAGGAGAACTACAGAGGAAGTAATGTTTTAGAAAATACATATGGTGACAGCAATAGAACATTGATAGAACTGTGGATGTTAAATGTGCTTCTGATGAGCCTTGAAAAGAAGATGAAGAACCTGTGATTGGACAATGGAGGAAGGGCAAGGTTTTTAACGTAGTAAGGCACTTGCCTAAATTGTGGTCAAATGTTTGGTGGGAGGAAGAACTTGTAAGTGACAAACTTGGGTATTTGGCTGATAAGATTTCTAAGCAAAATCTTAAAGGGTCATGTGATTTCTCCTTGCTGCTTATAGTAGAATGTGAGAGGAGAGAGATGGGCTTACAAATGAACTGTGCAAAATGAAAACAAGATTTAAAGATCTGGAAATTTCTGTTGTACAAACTAAGAACATGTGCTCTAGAATTTTCATCAAGGATGTGGATACACAATGTTTTAGTAAAGAGATTAAACCTGTGACAGATGCATCTAACCAAATCCCACAGCAGAAAACCCATTAGCTTAGATTTAGGAGGACAGAGAAGCAGCAAATACTGTCTGCTTCTTGGAAACAGAACAAAAGAGCTTCAAATGTCATCCTCCACACAAAGGGCCCTCCCTGCAGCAGCTGGGAGATGAGCAGAATTGCTGGAAAGGGCATGGAAAGGAGGGACTTCCTAGTTTCAGAGTGTGACTATGATCTCCTGGATCTCAAAAGGTAGGACCACATCTTTCTAGGCTTCAGAGTCGGATCTTCACCAACTTGGTGCTAGAGTGTGGGGCTGCCATTAAGGTGTGCTGGGAGGCTGGAGCTGCTCTGCCCACAAGACATAAAAACAGGACCTGCCTGGGCTGAGGGGATGGGGTGGCCACTCAGATGAACTAGAATGGAGCAGACTAAAGCTGAGGGAGCAGAATGGACATATCAAAACGTCTGGAAGGCAGAGCTAAAACAAGAGGCCTACACCCAGAACCTAGAGTACATGGCCAATACCCAGAGTCTACAGAACTGGGCCATTGCTCAGAAGATACCAAAGAGCAGAGGATTATTTTCAAGTCTTGAGAGGTAATGCAATTTGTTTTGCTGTTTTGGACTGGCTTGGTGCCTATTATCCCTTCCTTCCTTCCAATTTCTCTCATTTGCAACAGAAATTTCTACCTTGTGCCTGTTTTACTATTGCACTTTGGAAAAATAATTTGCATTCTAGAATTTACATGTTCACAGATCAGGAAAAATTTTGTCTCAGGATAGAATACACTTAAAGTCTACCCCATATTTCATCTAAATGATTCAGAAGATGCAATTTTAGACTTGGGCTAGACTGCAAGTCAGTTTGAACTGCAAGGTCAGTGGTTCGAACCCACCGGTTGCCCCTTAGAAACCCTATACAGGGTCGCTATGGGTTGGAACTAATTCGATGGCACATAACAACACAAAAACAAGAAGGGTGCTATGATGGGATGAATGTAGTTTGTATGTAGCAAGGACATGAAATTGGGGGGCCAAGATGTGGAATGTTATGGATCAAACTGTGTCTCCAAAAAATATGTGTTATAAATCCTAACTTCTAATCTGCAGTTATAATTCCACTTGGGAATGTTATGCTTTTTTATGATGAGGCATCAATCTCTTCTAAAATATAAATGAAATTAAAACAAGCAAGTGGTGGTGGCCAGAACTTGCAGAATGTGCCATTTGGTGGTGAAATTATTATATATGCCTAAGAGTTTTATTAAAAAGAAAAAAAAAAAAGCTAAAGTGAATAGAGAGAAACATTGTTAACTCATAGTACATTGTAATGAAACAAGACATATGATTTGTTGAATGTAAACCTGATGATATGCCCTGTAAACTTTCACTCAATCCATAATGAAACCTTAAAAAAAAAACCAACAAAAACAAGCAAGCGGGCAAGCAGAGATGGGGGAAAGAAGCCAACCCACATAATCACCCAGGCACAGAGGCTCAGAGTCAGAGGAGACAGACCATGCTCCAGAGCTAACAGAGACAGAAAGCCTTCCCCTACATCTAGCACCCTGAACTTGGATCTCTAGCCTAAACTGTGAAAAAACAAATTTCTGTCTGTTAAAGTCATGTAGTGTTTGCTACAGGAGCACTAAATAATTAACACATTAAGCAAATGTGAATACAGGTTAATGAAAAAGCACATCTCTCACCAAATTTACTGTTTCTTCATGCATCCCTATGGACTCATGGTGTGGCACTATAGGATAAGTACTGGGCTGTGAACCACAAGATCAGTGGTCCAAACCCACCAGCTGCTCCTTAGAAACCCCGTATTGGCTCACTATGAATTGGAATCGATTCTGTGGCCACTTAACCACAACATGTCTCGCTAAAATCCACTATGCGCTCAATCTTAAGTAAATTTTATTAATGGTGTTTAAGTTTATTGGTTTTGTTCTTTCCTTTATTCAAGACTAAACTGTCCTAACAATTATTATCACTATCTTCTTTTATCTCTTTTTCTTAGCTGTAAATTTTCTATTGTGAGGAAATATGTGGTGTGGTGCTGTGGGCTAATGCGTCAGACTGCAAAGTTGTTTGAACTGCAAGGCCGGTGGTTCAAGCTCATCAGCTGCTCCTTGGAAACCCTATATGGGGTCTCTATGCGTCAGAATTGACTCAACGGCCCTTAACAACAATGCTTAACCAAGGCATTATACATTTTTTTCTTTTCAATGACTAAGAAAGTTGGGTAAGACCAGAAAAGGAGTAGAAAATGACATGCTAAAGCTTTAAACTACCCGTCTATCAATATGTTGTACTTGGTGGCTTGTGCTACTGTCATGTTGGATGCTATACCACTTATAGTTCAAATAGTTGCAGGGTCACCCAGGAAGGGCAAGTTTTACCAGAGCTTCCAGATTAACATAGACTAGGAGGAAAGGCCTAGGGATCTACCTCCTAGAATTTGCCAATGAAAACCCTAAGGAATGCAACAGGATATCATCCAATGCAGTGCTGGAAGAGGACCGCTCTCGGATGGAAGGGATCGGATGGAAGGGATCCGAATTAACAGTGACCACGATGACAGACTCAAGCAAATCTATGGTTGTGAAGATGACAAAGACTGGGCAATCTTTTGTTGTGTGGTACATGGGGTTGCTATGAGTTGGAAGAGATCAATGGCAACTAACAAAAACAACAACAAAGCTTTAAAGTAATGACAGTGTTTCTATTATATTTGTGTGCTTATAAGAAAACCTTCACTGGTGTGTTTCTGCTTCAACTCCCTAAAGTTACTAGCACTCTACCTATCACAAAATTTAGAATATAGAGAATATAATTAAGCTTCTAAGGTAGACAGTTGTCACTTTCGCTGTTCAGCATCCAAACATTACCCTTATTATGAAGGAACCCATGAAGTTTCTCTTCCCTTCTCCCTGACAGCTTGAACTAAATTCAGCAAGCAGCTGTTTCTGCCCAGGGTTTGTAATCTTGAGCCAATGAAGTAAAGGCATAAGGCTAGTTAGGAAATATTCAAAGTCATCAGAGTCAAGAGTGAGGCGTTGTACCACTGGCTCCGGTAGTGTAGGTATCAACATGTCTTTTCTCCCATAATTCTTGCCTGAGCCTGGCTGCAAATACCTCGAAATAAATTCCTTTTCAGTTTAAGTTAAATATAACCAGTTTCTGTAGAATAAAAACTTTTGCTCAATACACTGACTTCAACCTAGATTTCATTTTATTAATTTGAAACTGAAATCATAAATACCTGTGAGATGGGTATTTTCCTTTAATGGCAGAGATAAGCATTTTTTCAACTTTCTGGTCAGTTGCAGTTACCAAATCGGCTGGAGAACTTTTAATCATGACATTCATTTCGTTTTTCAAAGCATCACAAACCACCTAAAAAGATTTTTCGGTAAGCAAATAGAAAACTCATAAGTAATAATAACTCAAACTAAAAGGTAAAATATAGAAATGGTTTAAAACAATGAACCTGTCTTATATGATTATATTCTTTAAAATGCCTTACCATACTATTTATAAAATCGTCCTTAAATATTTATGGCCACCTCATAATATATAACCTTATACTTGATTTTACATTCACAACTGTCATCACAAAAAGTTTCCAGTGACATTAAATAAATTTTTTAAATTAAAAACAAACAGTTGCTGTTGCCACAATTCTTGCTCATGGCAATTCCATGTGTTTCAGAGTTGAGCTATCTTCCACAGGGTTTCAAGTCTCTGACATTCTAGAAGGAGGTCACTAGGCTGTTCTCCTGACACACCTCTGGGTAGATTTGAACCACCAACATTTCAGTTAGAAGTAGAGTATTAAACTCTTTGCGCCAATCATTTATTGACATAGAAATAAAATATGTTTTTTACTTGGAAGATTCATTCCACTTAAAGTATGGAGATTAAAAAAAAAAAAAAAAAAAGAAGACAACTAATCAAAATAATGTGTATTTAACAAGGCAACCACATACTGTACACACATCCATTGCACTAAAGATGAGAAGATACTTTAGTTCATACCTCTCCAGCTTGTCTTGCTAGGGTTACTGCATAATCCATGCATTCCTGCCAAGGATCAGCCATCTTCTGAATAAATCTAAATATGATCAAAAAGAAGTTACAAATCCCTAATACTCTTAATCATAGAATACTCGTTAAAAATCTCAACAGACAACATACTTTCATTTCAGCATTTATTTCCACATTATAAAATTTAATTTTTTGAAAGATTTATTCCGAAGATCAGTAAAAGCCAAACTAGTCCACTCCCACTGTAGAAATATTTGCATAAAAGAAAACAGTCGGTAAAAAAATTACAGTCAAGCCAATTCCTAACTCACAGCGATGCTACAACACAGAGTAGAGCTACCCCATAGTTTCTGAAGCTGCAACCTTTATGGAAGCAAACTGCCACATCTTTCTCCCACTGGTTGGTTCAAACATTGTTACCAACCAAACTTAGCATCCAAGTATTTCCCAAAATGTTTACACCGTGTCACATTGAAACACACACACAATGGTTTGGGAATAGAAAACAAATGGACACAACAAATAATGTTGCATGCCTGGACTAAAGTGAAAAGGAGAAAGATGTTGGGAATACTGAAATAAACGCAGCTTTGAAAGGAAGGAACAATATGTGCATGTACTTATTGAAAGCCAGGCAGTGTGATAGGTGCTTTATACATACAACATTTTTTTTAATAAGGTTGTAAAATGAAGAACTTAAGGCTCAGAAAGGATCATGTTCACAGTTAACCAAATGACACAGTCAGAATGTGAGCCCAATTCTGATTTTAAAGTACACTAACTGCTCATGCTGTTACAGGAATCTACATAGAAAAAATTCCAGGGCTTAAAAAAACAAAAAAGCAGTAAATTTATTTCCCTGAACTTCAGAGGGGAAAAAAATAAACAAACATAGCATTCTTCTCTTAAGTGTCCAGCTTTTCCTGACTTCTGGCTTAACCACACCCTATAATCACTACATAACCCACAAAAGCCGTTGAAGCAAGCAGACACAGAAATATGTAGAAACATTTATAAAGGAGAATTTAGAGATGTCTAAGTGCTTATAGGGGAATACCTGACAGTGTTTAACCTTGAAAACAACTGAAAAATCCCCATGATGGCACTTACATCACAGAAGAGGGAAGCAAAGGAGAAAGGAAAAGGGCAGAAATGACCAGTTTTCTGTGCGTTTCTTTCCTGATATTTTTTTTTTTTAAAAAAGGCTATTTTGTAGTTATGTAGTTTTCTGTGCGTTTCTTTCCTGATATTTTTTTTTTTTTAAAAAGGCTATTTTGTAGTTATGTAAGTAACTGCTTAGAGTTCCTCAAGATTGGATAGTGAAACCTAAGGACAAGGAGTAAAGTTTCACTAAAGATAACCCCAAAACCGCTGCAACTAGACATTGACAAAGTTCAAGCTGGTTTCAGAAGAGGATGTAGAAAGAAGGACATCATTGCTGACATCAGATAGATCTTGGCTGAAAAGAGAGAATACCAGAAAGATATTTACCTGTGATACGTCAGCTAGGAAAAGGCTTTCGATTGTGTGACTCATAACAAGCTATGGACAACATTAGGAAGTATAAGTATTCCAGAACATTTAATTGTGCTCATGAGGAAACTGTACAGGATGTAGCTGTACCAACAGAACAAAGGAATACCATATGATTTCAAATTAGGAAAGGTGTGCACTAGGGTTGTATTCTTTCACCATATTTATTCAATCAGTATGCTGAGCAAATAATCCAAGAAGCTGGACTGTGGATGAAGATGTGGATGTGGCATCAGGATTGGAGGAAGACTTACTAACAACCTGCAATATGCAGATGATACAACCTTGCTTGCTGAAAGTGAAGAGGACTTAAAATACTTGCTGATGAAGAACAAAGACCACAGTGCTCAGTATGGGTTGCACCTCCATGCAAAGAAAATGGAAATCCTCACCACCAGACCAATAAACAACATTCTTATCAAGGGAGAAAAGACTGAAGTTGTCAAGGACTTCATTCTTCTTGGATCAACCATCAACACTCATGGAAGCAGCAGTCAAGAAATCAAATGAACTATTGTTATTAGTCAAATCTCACAAGGCCTCTTTAAAGGGTTAAAGAGCAAAATTGTCCCCTTGCGGACTAAGGTGTTCCTGGCCCAAGCCATGGTATTTTCAATAACCTCATAAGCATGCGACAATTGGACAGTATATGCGAATAAGGAAGACCATAGAAGAACTGATGCACTTGAGAGTTACTGTATTGGAGAATACTGAAAATACTATGGACTGCCAAAAGAACAAACAGATCTGTGTTGGGAGAAGTGTAGCCAGAGTGCTCCTTGGAAGCCAGAAAGGCCAGACTTTTGTCTCTCATATCATCAGGAGGGACCAGTCACTGAAGAAGGAATCATGTTTAGTAAAGTGGAGGGCTGGAAAAAAAGAAGAAGATCCCCAACTAGATGGACTGGCACAGTGGCAGCAGTGATGGACTCAAATGTAGCAACGATTGAGAGTTTAGCCCAGGACCAGGCAATGTTTCTTTCTGTTGTACAGAGGGTCACTATGAGTTGGTACCAACTAGATGACACATAACAACAAGGACAAGAAACAGTAAGTTTGCACTAATGGGGGAGGAAAAACATGGCATAGGAAGGAAGCTGAGAATAGTTGTACAACTTGAAGAATGCAATCAGTGTCACTGGATTGTACATGTCAAAATCGTAGAATTAGCTTATTTTCTGCTATGTATATTCCCAACAACAAAAATAAACTATAAGGGCAGCCACCATTACAGAGAGCCGAGCTCCGGAGCTAGAGCGAGCGGAGGAGGCACCAGGCCGGTGGCCGAGCACTGTAGAGACAGAGGGCCAGTGGTCACATGGAGCAACTGCCAGTAGCCACTGTAGTACCTCGGGAACCGGCGGCAGTGTGTGCTGGTGGCCTGTGTGCGGGCAGCTGTGCGGGAGTAGCACGGAGCAGCAGCCAGTTTCGGGCAGGTGGCATCCTGGACGAGAATGTGTTCACCAAGGAGCTGGATCAGTGGATCGAGAAGCTGAACGAGTGCAATCAGCTGTCCGAGTCCCAGTTCAAACGCCTCTGGGAAAAGGCTAAAGAAATCTTGACAAAAGAATCCAACGTGCAAGAAGTTTCACAATCTCATGGAACTGTTCAGAACTGGTGGCATATCACCAGACACGAATTACCTGGTTAGGGAAGATTACGTTGACGGAGGATATTACTCAGTTGAAACAGTTACACTGCTTTTAGCTCTTAAAGTTTGTTACCGCGAATGCATCACCATTCTTCAAAGGAATCAGGAGAGCAGACAGATCACACAAGTGTATTGTTTCTATGATGAATGTTTAAGGAAATATGGAAATGCTAAATGTGTGGAAATATTTTACAGATCTTTTTGACTATCTCCCTCTCACTGCCTTGGTGGATGGGCAGATCTTCTGTCTACATGGTGGCCTCTCACCATCCATAGATACACTGGATCACATCAGAGCACTTGATCGCTTACAGGACCCCCAAGAGGGCCCAATGTGTGACTTGCTGTGGTCAGATCCAGATGACCGAGGTGGTTGGGGTATATCTCCTTGAGGAGCTGGTTACACCTTTGGACAAGATATTTCTGAGACGTTTGTTTAATCATGCCAATGGTCTCCCGTTGGTGTCTAGAGCTCACCAGCTGGTTATGGAGGGGTATAATTGGTACCATGACTGGAATGTAGTGACAATTTTCAGTGCTCCAAACTATTGTTATCATTGTGGCAACCAAGCTGCAATCATGGAACTTGATGGCACTCTAAAATACACTTTCTTGCAGTTTGACCCAGCAGCACCCCACAGACGTGAGCCACATGTTACTCGTCAGTCCCCAGACTACTTCCTGTAATGACATTTTAAACTTGTACAGTATTGCCATGAACCATATATTGACCTAATGGAAATGGAAAGAGCAACAGTAACTCAGAGAATAGTTAACATTAAAAAAAACTTGTTTTCCCAGAAGATACCTCTTGAAAGAAGGACCTACAGGAAAAATACAAAACAATAAGGGCAGTCTGACTCTTACCACAAGAACATACAGGTGGCCTGCCCAGGAGACATCAAGGCAAGTGATCAGATCCTCTCAGTGCAAATTCTCTTCCAAGACTAAGACGCAAGGGAAATATACACTTTGACTGACAACCACGCACGTCACCCAGAAGGGGAAGTGGCCGAAGAACATCAACGAAGGGGCGAGCTAAGCCCTGCATGGTTCAGCAAACTACTGTGAACCCGGATGGAGACCTGGTCGGCCAGTAGCAAGGCATCATCTGGGGACTCATGGGCTCAGGGTCAGTGACACAGCCACAGAGGTCTAGAGTGGAGAGCAGGGCGGCCAGCCGATAAAAAGAGGCCAGACAGATGTAAGAACACCACAGAGCTCAACCCTAAGAAGAAAGAAGAGGGGAAAAAGCGTCATCTGATACGATTCGATAAACATGACCTACACCTATAAATGCAGTAGCTCAAAAGAGGAAACAAATCCCTGCTGCAAGAACTATACCCACCCCCTCCACACAAAGGGTAGACAGGGATGGGCAACTTGGACATTGGCTACCCAAAATGGGGGGAGGGATACAAAGGGTAAGAAGTGACTGGCTTACAAGCTTTCAAGAGGGAACCTAGATCCAGAGGGCGTGGAGGAAGGTAGAGTCTCCAGTGAGTGGTGTCCAGCCTGTCCAGGAAGGGCTGAGGAAATGAAATACAGATGGGTCTCTTGTGATGCAATGGTGAATAATTGCTATCAGGACTGGTTCAGAGGGTTGGAAATCTAAAGATGGACATTTTGTAACCAAGAGGGGAGTGATTAATTTATCAGTCTAGGAGCGGAGGACCCTGGGACCATCAATGGAGAAGAGCGAAGAGCGGAATCCTACCCAGAGAGGCAGTGAGGCCTAGGATGGAGGTAGAGAAGACAACGTCAAGAGATGGTGGGGCTGGGGGCTCGGGATCAGGAGATGGAAAGGGGCTGAGGACTGTGGTGGGAGGGGGATGCAGGTTTACAGGGTACACCCCTTGGTTGGGTGAGGATGCAT